GATAGATAGATAGATAGATAGATAGATAGATAGATAGATAGATAGATAGATAGATAGATAGATAGATAGATAGATAGATAGATAGAAGTCCAAATGACATAAAAACAATCAATAACAATATTAAAAGATTTTAAAAAAGAAAAATGAAATGAAGAAAGATAAATATCACTAAACATCGAGGGGAAAATAAAGAAAAAAAACATACAACTGCCAAGAAGTCAATTTCTGCTGATTACTGAAGAGATAGTTTGTTTTTGAACGATGTGTTTTTAGTTGTCTGTTTCAGGTTGTGTTGGTGCAGATGCACAACAACAACCTGTCAAATATAGAMTGACAACATACTGAAACACATCAAATTGCCTGTAATAATAGTTGTGAAAATAAAGCTAAAAATAGTGATTAACAGAAAACAAAAGTGGCTGCAATCATTACAAGAAAAAAACTACAAATATTGATAAAGAGCAGAAAATCCTGGAAGAAACTCTGTCATCAAACTCCTTATAAAACCGTTTGTAATGAGAATCACAGCCCTCACTTTAATAACATTATATTTTGTTTAATTAATCATTTGACATGACTCGTGACCTGTAAAAAACATTTCAGTATAATTCATTACAAAATAATGTTCTTTATTAGATGAAGCAATCTCTACTATTTTACTATTGTAGAGATAAATTAACACAATGTCTCATTCAAAACACAATGAATGATTTTTTTACAAAGTGGACACAGTAAAAACACTCTGTAGAGGAATTACAATCATTCTGCAACAGTATTTATTGAAAATGCTATATTAATTTATTAGTAAAAATATATTAAGGCTTTTCATGACTTAAGAAATACATTTACTTACATTTTTCATTTTCAACAAACTAAAGTCACGATTTCTACAAAAGGCTCAAATGAGCAGGGTGTTTTACACAATGATACATTGACTGTTTAAATAAAAAATGAACATAGTCCAGACACTTGGGAAAACTTAAATTGTGAACTTAGATTTTCCTTGTTTCCTTGTCCGTAACCCTGTAATAACCGGGAAAATGCAACAACTTCAATCATTTATTTGAAGAACAGGATGCTTAATAGAACTGTGTTAGATGTGTGACGTTTGTAAAGTCCTGAATACAAAAAATATTTTGTAAGCTAAAATCTTTTTTTTCCCCAAAAATGAAGATGAAACAAAATCTCCTCTTCCTCTGGGAGCCGTGAACCTTCAGATCTGTTTGCCAAGCAGCCAGAAGATGACTCTGTGCACCCATATGTTTGACTATCTCCATAAGATGCTTTGTAAAGCTGAGGTAAAAACACATCAACTAAATAAGCACAAMGATAAACTCGAAGCTGTAGGAGAAAGGGGTGCAGAGGGTGCTGCAGCATCCCCTGATGGCTATTAGAAGACAAACAACTACATAGATGAATTTAATAAAGAGCAAAGACAAGTTTTATTAATGCTAAACATGTTTAAATTATAACAAATCTGATGTTATTGAGTTTTGTAAATCAGATTTATAAAATGTAGTAATGCTTAAAAGGTCGTGATTGAACTTGTAAAGAAATTCAGCATTTTCTGAATCAGACAACATGATGTTTCTTTTCCCTGTTTGCCATTAAGATATACTTTGTGTAATTGTACCCAATAATAAAACACCCCCCCACACACACACACACACACACACTTTTAAATAAATTATGGTAAATCTTTTGATTTTAGCAATATTTTCACTACTGTTGTTGACGTCATATAAATTTAAAATAAATAAAGGATTTATATAGTTATATAGTAAATATATATTATTTATTATAGACATTGCAGTTTATAGTTATATAGTATTTATATAGTAAACATGTTCGAATTAAACCAAACAAACTGCTAATAATACTGGTTTCAGTACTTTAACAAACTTATGTCATGCCAATAAACATCAACACAACTTGAAAAACATGTTGCAAAAAAATAAAAACAAAACTTTTGAGCATCCAGGCATCATATATATA